AAGCCCCTGGTTGTTTGGTTTTTGATCTTATTTTTCTTCGTTTTCAGTCCTTCGTAGGGGCTTGGGCGCGACGCGACCGCGTCGACCGACCGTCTGCCTCCCTCCTCCCCCTAGCACTACCTTGGCTGGCTTGCCGGCGGACTATGAAAGCAGCCACTTCGCTTACTTCATTCCGCAGTACTCACTCTACTCCATTAACCTACCCACCAAGTTACTGATATGAGAAGGAAGTGTAGAAAAGAGTTAAGTTTTCCTTATCATTACCTTTATGGTAGTCATAAAGTTTTGTGGACGGAAAGACCGACAAACCGGCATACCGACACACCAAGTTACTGTTTTATAAATAAGAGAGAAGCAATTAGCTGTGTACGAGCTATCACGAGAAAATCATTTATTGATTTATGATTCAAGTAATAGTACGAGAGGGTGGTTAAGTAATGTACATTACAAAATTAATACATGGATTATAAAAACAAATTACAAATGTAATAAGTGAATCTCCTTAATGTTTGAGTACTAATTAATAGACAAAAGTATGACGAGTTTCCTTGGTAAACGAGCTCTGTAGAAATACCGCTATGGGGGTAGATCCTGTTCGGGTGTATACTGAGTTACACATGGGACTATCCCGCCTCCCCAAGGTTGTGGAGATTGAGGAAATGGTTGTGGTGGTGGTGGTGGCGGCGGTGGCGGTGGTAATGGTATAGGTACTGGCAGTGGTACTACTTCTGGTGGTGTTACTGCTACTGGTAATGGTACTGGTGCTGGTGCTGGTCTATGTTTCTTTTTTGATGCACCAGGTGGTTCTTCTCCTGCAAGCCCGGCAACGAACGCATTGAACGACTCTTTAAACTTCTCGAACTCCTGCAATCATCCCAATTACTGCAGAATCATTTTTTCCCTGTCCTGTCACTCAAAAAGTTTGTCACTCTTGAACATTCGATTCCATCGTAGAGTTTTGTGAAGGATAAACTGCTAAGTCGGAAAAGTTGTCGAAAAGGTCAGTGCTAAATGTGTCCCTCAGCTCGCTGAAGAGCAGGGCTAGCGTTAGTCCAGAACGGCGAGACAACACAAAGGTTATCAGCATGTTGCTTGGTGATACATCTAGTTACGTATTGTCTTGTGGTGAGAGCGTATCGGGTCTTCTAATACGCCCTGAATCGTATTTTCACCAAACGTCACGGATGACGAAACGGTATCCTGGAAGGGGTTGATAGGTTCTCTTTACTATGGACTGCTTCACCATCTGCAGCTCCCTGATGTAAGCTGTTCGATCAGCCAAGTAGCCAATTATTTCGACACTCTACTCGTAGTATCCAGGCATTTAAAGAAGGACCCTTAGGGACGCTGAGAAAGGATATTTACACTGATAATTGATCAGCCATGTCGGTTATCCTTCTTACACCAGAATCCGACGCCACTGCTCTTGACAGTAACTTAGCCCTCCCAAAATGTTTTCATTCTCTCCAGGGTAGTCAGCGATGTTGCTTTAGACTGTACCATAAAGATTCTCGCACTAGGTGCTTTTCACTACTGAAGATTCCTAGTCTTAGCTGAAATCCTTAAGGCACAGTTCACGATAATATCGAACTGTGCAGAACTGCCTTTCACTGTCGCTATTGGTCATGAGAAGTTGCTTGAACTCCTTACATGGGTGTCCTTGGGAATGGTGCAACATCCATGTATAAGCCAGTGAAACTCGTCCGAGCAAACACACAGGACAATCTTTGAGCCTTTATGACACCCTGTCTAGGCCGTTTTCCGTCCTGACAGTGCCACATATGGTATAAGGGGAAGCTACAGATTTATCCTGGGAGATATCTCACTGGATTTTTTTTTTGTGAATTAAGCCTTCAATTTATCAAAAGTCAATCACCCTCAACAGAAAAAAGTAACCTTTAGTAGTTGCGGATCGACGATGTACTTCATCGCACGGCCATATTCACAAAGTGACTCAGCTACGTAAATATACTGTATTTCGACTTGTACGCTGTGCATTCGTTGATCTGAAAAGCCATTCCAAGAAGCTTTCTTAATTTACTGCCACATTGCTGAAAACATTTACCTCTCAAGCGCTTACATATTTCCAGTAGATTCAGCTGACCACCGGCTAGAAGTCGCTGAAGGGCCATCTCGATGGCAACCTGGAGAACGATGATTCTAACTCGCTTTATGGATTCTACTTTTAATTATCTTCGCGAATCTGCGGTCTTTCGACCTAAAGCTTTCTCAAAGAGGAGAGGACCCTCACAAAGGAGGTTTTCCAGAATAATTTCCATGCATTGTTACTTTTGGCTACTTCACTGACTTTTATCTACTGAGCTATATTTTGATATACGAGAGGAACTTACTTTCGTGGTAAAAGGCTTTCGAAATGCTGTAAGTAAAAGTCTGGACGAGAAACTCCCTCCGAGCGTATTGGTCCTGTCCTTCCCGAAGGCCCGCCTATTTTATTAAGCTCACGTTGGTGAAAGCTGCTGATGAGCAGGGATAATCAGACAATGGACTTTCTCATCATGTGGGCTTTGTAGGGATGGAACTTTAGATTGGATAACCGCCTGCATTCCGGTTCCCATACAAGGGATTTGCTGCGTATCGTAGCTAAGCTTTGACAGAAGAAGGTTATGAGGGGTTTTAGTTCCCCTGAAAACTGTGAACGGACAGTTTTCCTCAATCAATCATCGGAAGGTCTTTTGTACACGCGGATGAACTTCACTGCTAGAGAATGTAGGTTAATGTGACTGTAACGAATGTGAGCTTTGAGATATGTGATGCATACTGCGCTCCAGGGCTAACTCATGGCGTCGTGGCCACGCACAAAATTCAGTGCTGTGCATGCGCAGCAATCGCTTCTCATTTTCTCTTCGTCATCCATTTCTCTGTTCATATCTGCTTCAAAGTCGTCAAAGTTGTATGATCGTCATGTCCTTTTTATTTTAATTTTTCTTCTCTCAAATGTGAGTAGGTCCCATAGACCTGTCTGGGATCAGTTACTAGGTGATTTATGTTTAATTTGTTATGTATTCTTAACCGACAGTTCGCGATGCGATTACTATCGAAAAGACATCGCAGCAAGAGCTCAAGGTCAAGCCTAGGGCTCGAACATTTGCTTCCCGAGCACCCTGTGATAAAACGTTTCTGTTTCTTTTCCTTACGTAAAAGAAGCCCATTAATTTGTATTAAGCCCTCTCTCTACTCCCCCACATGTTCAAACAAAAAGGAATACACG